CTTCTTGCTACTGTTATTGTGTTACCAGTTTCCTGACCACCAATACTGATCCTAGGTAGTACCTTGAACTGTTTATGAACCCACATTCAGCGAAAGGTAAATGATATTTCTCAGTGACCAGGTGCTGAATAAATCACAAGGCTCTGTTTTAACTGGGGTTGAGCAAACCTGGAACCAGGACAGGTTGCGAGTAGTTCGATTAGTGTGCTTATTGTTGAAAACATGTGCGAATTATTCGGAAAACCGAAGCCGCTTTGCCCCAAGCATTTACCATTGATTCGTTGAATGCACCGAGCCCCTCAGCACTCGGTCGGAAGCTTACTTTTCTTGTCTCTCTTCAGTAATGGCCAAACTCTCACTTCTCATTATCGGCGCACTTGTGCAGCACACCGAATTCGTGCCCGTCGCGCCTTTCAACGGTGGTTTAGCTGCACCCATTGTTAGTCTAACTGCTAGGGCAGACCACTTCCTTTGACCAGTATGATGAGGAAAGCCTCTCTATACACTGGACACAGAGAAATTATGGCAGATGGTAAACGAAGCCGCTACACATACACCAGCTGTTCACAACCACCGCCTTTACCACAACCACACGTGAGTCGCATGAAAAATCACTCCATGCGTAGCTGGTATAACCACTGTCAACGATACTTATTTAGCGCGTTTCGCTTGCTTCAGTCAAATTTATTCAAGCCATTAATCGACCTCACTTCATTGGTCATTTCAGTAGTAGTGAGACAGATAGACGTCCCCCATTAACACAGATTTATCCGGCCCCTCCGCGCACACAACAGCAGTATTCCTTATGTTATTCAAAATCCCTTTCGTAACTTCACAGATTTCAAGTCTATCATCTAACACACTTAAGCGTCGAATGAAATACAGGGGAAATGGGTTTAGCACGCATCGATGGGTTGTGCTGATTAAGATCAGCAGGTGTCCTGCTACCCTTGTAGATGCTGCACCGTAAAGTCTCTTTGAGTGTTAGCATACTCTCTTATCACAAACCTAGTGTCCCAGCTTCCGGCTTATGAAGTCTGTCAACAATAGACGCTCGGTGAAACTTAATTGGACATCAGCTGTCCAGTCACTGGACGGTGACCCGTTTATAGAAGCCCTCATCTATTCGCTTGCAACCTCCCTCCGATGCATTTGTGTTAACCAGGAATGAGTTAATTTCCTGCGAACAGGGTAAAAACTGTTGATATTAGTAAATGCCGTGGGCGGAAACATCTTAACCAAAGAATAAGTGCGACGAAATAACATTTCGCCTCAGTGAGCTCGCTGCCATTTTCATATGCGCACACCGTTGGTTTAGCTTAAGTGGTCGTCCAATGAACCCAGGTTAAATCACGTAGCGTGAATGAAATGGAAGATATTTGAGCAGTTTGACCCTTCCCTGATCTCTTAGATGCTTTATATTTACTTTAGGTCTGACGCAGAACACGACATGCACATATGTCAGGCTTTACAAAGCAAAGTTATTCCGCATTCGGAATTCCACAACGGAGTGAGGCCAAAAATGCGCAGAAATTGTACCACTTCCCATACAAGCTAATGGCAAAATCCACGGGAGTCCACAGTGGACAGTATCGAAGTCTGCTTAGGGACCTGCTAACGACGTGTCAAGTCTCGAGGAACCCCGACCACATTTGCCCCTACCCCCTGATGATGAGCCAAAATAAGACATTGTGAAGTCCTCAGCTAAAGTTGTCACACCGTTTGAATGTGGCTGCAACTTCTTCCCTTCCCATGTAAGATAAGTCTTTATTATGAGACAACCCTTTCTGGTTGAGCACTAAAGTAACGCATTCGGTCTGTTTAACTGAGATTGTTGGTGAGGACAGCAACTTCTTAGTTAAACATCTAACACCATCTTGTTTTCCGAATCAGACCTATTCAGCTTAAGCTTCGCTTCTAGTGCCTGTTATAATAGGACGTTACATGACCATCAATTAGTCTTCTGAATTCGGTCAAGGCGAAAATAGGAGTTAGGGGTTTCGCAAGCGTATTTCAGCATCTGCACATTAAAAGAGTGAAAATGTTTCTTTGACATTCAGACCAACCGTAACTAGTGATTACCCAGGATAGTGTTGTAGCTGTTTCGAAATTATCGATGCGCCATAATAAGTAATCCCCTCACACATCGATATTGTTGGCTCTAAACTTCTAGAAGCTCCAACATCGAGCACAAAGAACAAGTTCCAAGTATTTTTGATTGTCTTTGTTGTAGTGTCTCAATGACAGCGAGCTCAAGATTTTGTAGGCGCTACTAAGCTAGCTTGCTGAACTACGATGGCTGGCTTGTCGAACTACCTCCTTGGGGTACCAGTTGGGTGGTTCCGGATACACCCGTTCCAACAAAAGGTTCGGCGGCAGTGTTCCAGGACGTGGTGGGTTTCCGTCTGGCAAACGTACTCACCATGAAAAGCCACATATGTCCGTTTAACAGCACTGCTGACGTGGTGGATGTGACTCGCTACCAAACAAAGTCCCTGCCCCTTGCTTCACCTCGCCAGAAGATTGCTTTCGAGAATCGTCAACGACGGGCAACCAAGAACGTCAGGGGCCTCTTTCATCTCCCATATCAGCTTAAACTGAAATCTCTAAGAACGTACAACAGTCGATATCGGCTTTTGCAGGGGGATCTCCTAATGGTTTACTAGATTCTGAAGAACCCAAACCACATTTGCCGTCCGCTGCTGGAATTGAACCACAACACTAAACTAAGAGGTCACCCTCTGAAACTGACAATTCATTATAGCCGGCTTGAATGCCATAGTAATTTCTTTTCGCTCCGCGTGTACCACACTTGGAACGCCCTCCCTAATTATGTCGTCTCTGCTCCCAATCTAGCGATATTAAAACAACGTGATGATGATGCATTGTCTCACTTACATTTCATTTTATGATTTGTTAGCCGAGGGTTACAAAACGCAATCAAACGGTGTCTTGCCAAATGCCTAACCAATGGATTGATGGATTTATACTTTTAATACGCGAACATCTCTGCTATTCCACATAAGTCTATGGTGAGTCCACCACAACGCTGTTCACTTTATTATGCAATTTATTTTCGCAATAATCTCCATCCCACTGGACTTGTTAAGCGATGCTATTTTATCCGTAATAAACCATTGTTCCATTGTAATCCCACAGCTAGACGATGAATTACTGAGAGTATTGGACCCCTGTTTGGCAGCCCGCCAGACAAATAGGCGTATGAACCAAGAAATCGGTCACCTGCTCCCAATGAGCGGGATCCCCTGAATTCGCCACGCTGCCTTGCGGGTCAGGTGCCTATGACCAAAGGCTCCGGATGTGGCTCCCTAAGTCAACACCCTTCCTCGGTCTGGGCAACCGGGAAGCTCTATGCCCACACAACACGTGAAATGATGGATTTACAACGCTCTGCTCACGTTTCTCGGTCTCTGAACTCTCTCACTTTGGCCGAGATACTGGCGGTCAGGCATGCTAAACCTCACTCTATCGCACCGCAAACCACGTTCTTCGTTGCACGTTTATTCAACCCTCCAGTTCTTGGTCACTCCCCTCCCACTACGAGTCTCCAACAGTGCATTGCTAATAAAAACAGTAACTTTGGCCTTATCAAGAACCACGCAATCCCGATTGCACACATTCCAATAACAACAGCAAGGCTTTTATTGTAGCCCGTTCGCTCTTCAAGCTAGCTACGTTCAATGTTCGAACGCTCATGCAGATTGGTTCACAAGCTGCTCTTGTGAGCACCTTGGAAGCAGTCTCAATCGACGTTCGCTGCCTAACTGAAACCCGTTTACAAGATTCCAGCACAACGTTGCGATTGCTCTTACCCTCCCCAAGTTCCAGTTGCACATTCACCTTGCGCTTATCTGGAGATGCCACGGCGGCAGTCTTAGATGGCGCCTGCGTAGGAGTTGCGTTAAGCGCGTGTGCTGAGACAGGGCTCATTGACTAGTTCCAGGTCAACAGCGGTCTTTGTGCAGTCCGCTTGGAGAGCTCAGTGGGATCTGCCAGCCACGGGACCAATAGGAGCTGCTTATTCGTTGTGGTGGCGTATGCTCCAACAAACTGCAGCCCGGAGGAAGCTAAAGACGAGTTCTATCGCTAACTCACCGACCTCCTCCGCAAGAAAAGCGGCACAAACATCGTGATACTCGCCGGTCAGTAGGCTAGAGTTTCATGAGCGCGAACTTGGGGGTCAATACAGCCACGGTACTCGCAGGACGCACAACGGCGATCGACTCTTTCAACTGTGTGCCGACCACGGCTTGTTCCTCTCCAGCACCAATTTCCGACGTTCTTGGCCTCAACAAGCCACCTGGTGACCTCCGACGCCTGGTCAACCTTGGACACAAATTCATCACATCGTTGTTAGTTACCGTTGGCGAGGCTGCACAACGGGGTGTAAGGTTCGCCTCTCCCCATGGTAATTTACAGTAACAGCGCATTTACCCAGGACTGGGATCAGCTGTCCAGTGTGCGTACGCAAAGTTGATTCACAGGGGGATAAGTAAGTTACTCTTTTACCTGAGACACCACTGATTATGGTAACTGAGGCACCAGTATCAACTTTCAGTTTAACCAACTGGCTTTCTATTTCCAATTGCACAGTGTATGGTCGGTGAATGTTGCAGATGCTCGACGTTGCTTTCCAAATCGTGTTTACCTGGTCTTCCTCGTCTGAAGACTGGACGAACATTGTAGGCCTAGTGATTACTAGTCCGAGACGATGCGCGAAATTAAGCGCGGATATCTGAAGGCAATTGGAGTCGGACACAACGGACTGTATTCAATGGGCTACAAAAAGACGCGGACGGATGAAGGGAGACAAGAGCAACGCGTGAGCGTGGGAACTTACAAGACAGTCAAGTCTCGAGCCGGATGTAGGTCAACCTGGACGTAATGTAAAGGAGCTTAAAACAAGAAAGAATAGTGTGCAGCTGGTCATCGGTGAAATTGTCCACAAAAGATAATAGTTATCTTTTGGGCCGCTACACCTTCACGGGCTTCTTGGGCAAACGTGATGTCGCGGCTGTGCAAGCTTTAGATGGCCAAACTCGGGTGGAGTGCCCTGATTTTCCACATTGGTGGCATATAATCCGTTTATAACGACATTCCTCGACTGAAAAGTGCTGATTTCCACATCGGTAACAGGTAAAAGGCAACTCGGACCGTCTCGGGGTAACATCTTTTCGCTTGACTGCTTGGCTTGTGTCTTTATGAGCTTGCGAAGAAAAACCTGCTAACTGTTTATGGACATTCTCCAGCTGTTGAACAATATTGCAGGCCTTATCGCAGCCCATCGTCGTCTCGTCTTCCGACAATAACTTCTCACGTGCCTGATTTACGGATACCGGATATCAAGCACTATAAAGCCATCGCTTCTTCAAAGTTCGTAATTGGGATTTCACTATACCGATACTCTGGTAGGGCTTGCTGAATCCGCGTGCTGAAATCAATGACAGTTTCTTTAGGGTTCTGACGCAAGGTCGAGAAATAATACCGCACAGTGTATGTGTTCAGTCGTGAACCCCATAACCCGCTGGAGACTTCTAACGCGCTGTTGACTGTCTCCTTTTCACCAACAGGGAGGGCATCCAAATGTCTTTGGCCTTCATCCCCCAGAAATTGTCTCAATAATATAATTTTATTGCTCTCTGAGAGTACCGTGTTCGGTTGCAAGACGGATAGTAGCTCCAAACAATCCAAAAAAGTGCGCTTCAAGCGGTGCCAGGCGGTCGGTGTTGGTTTATCAGAAGGAATCTTTCAAAGTAGTGTAGGAAGATGCAACAATCTCAGTAGGTTCACCTCGTCGCCTGAATGTTAGCTATGGCCCTTAGCCGATGAACGGAAGAGAACGCGCACGCGTAATATAGAACCTATTTACTAAAAGCATCCTGCCTTACGGTGGCTAGAAAAGCCAGAAAGGAAAGCCAATGAAATAGGGAAAGTAAAGCAAGGTCTTTCTCAACCAATCCTTTGAGGGCCTGCGTTTTCGAATCGATACTCAAGTGCGTGCCTGAGGTGTTGTAGGTCGAATGGTTTGACCACATTTGGCAAAAAAAGAAGCGGTTTTGAATGGGATCTAAATGTAGGAAGGATATCACTGGTCCTTAATTGCGACGCTAGTTTCTTCCACAGATGGGCCTACTTCACCAAAGAGGAATTTAAGCGGATATTTCGCTTGGTGATCTGTAAGAATGGTAGGCTGTTCCCATTACGATTGGAATAGGTTGGGCCATGTTGTAAAGCGGCAGCCGTACTAGTTTAGAAGACTCGCATGTATATAATACTGTATAGGAGAGTGAAATTGCTTTTCAGCCGTCGAAGCCAGAGTCGATTGAGCTGGAGATGAGAACATCGGTCCTCATAGGTAAGCACTGATGATCATCCCATGAGAATTTTGTAAAACGAGCGCAGGACGTTTTCCAAAGCAATTCTATGTTTTAAGTAAGCGGTTATGTATCATGGCACAATACTCTAGAGTGGGTGGCATTATGACTTTGCAAGAGACAGGTTGTGTTTGGGGTAGTGAAAATGACCTAATGATGTAGCTTGTTAATTGCTTCGCTTTCACTATTTGATGTAGGATGTGTTCGGAAAAGTTGAAGCTGTTAGGGTATCGAATTTCCAAGACCCTACCGAGTGCATTGTTAGGATGGGGGCATCAGAACGAGGGATGGATTCTTCTGGTATCTTCTATCTGTGGTAGAGTATCTGAGGTTTATCTGCCGAATCCTCATAGATTTGCTTCCTGTACATTTGTTCCAGATGGTAAGGCAGAAACGAATACACTAGTTTGATGTCTTCCTCAAGTAAAAGTGGGTGCCGATGTCCAATGTGATCATATATCGTTCACGTAAATGAAGAAAAGCAATGGGCCTAATACACTGCTCCGAGCGACACCACTCGTGTCAGTTCTGGAAGTAGAACAATACTGTCCAGTTTATGCTACTCTATCGGGGCGTTCAGATATGATTCCAGCCAGATCAATAGAGGATTACTGATCCCATGAGGGTAAAGCACGGCCAAGTATGGTTTGTGCTGTAAACAGTCAGAGATATCTATGCATATCCAGAAGAATGATGCTGATGGCCATGCAGTCATCTAAGGTTGCTGTAACTTGTTCAATGAATTGTAATTGGCATGCGACGCAGTAACGTCTTGTAGCGAATACATGTTGGACATTGCCGAGGTCTTGTCTTGCCAGGAACTGTGTTACCCGATTCTTGAGGATTCTTTCTAAAGACATAGTGATGACGCAAGTATGGTTTATCGACCGATAGATTAACATCCGGTTTCGTGGACCACCTTTGTGTTTCGGCATCATTATAGATATTTTCCACTGTGGACGGAACCAGCCAGTTTTCAATGACAGTGTGAAAATGTTCTACATGAAGAGGAGTACGCTTGTTTCAGCCAACCTTACAATTGCATGGGAATACCATCAGTTCCCGGTTGGAATGTTGGTTTGATGGATGTAGTAGTCACCTGTATGTCCATTAGACTGACAGATGGTACACAGTGCCTCTTCCGTTTCTCTTGGAGTGAGAGGACACGGTGCATTTGATGCAGTATTGGACTAGGCGGTAAAGTAGGAATTCGTTGAAGCACATATTTGGACTAAATCGTCTGTTGCCGCACCGTAGAGTAAATGTAGACTTGGAATTTCCCGGTGCCGTTTCCGATTTCTTCTTCTGAGTGCATCAAGGCACGAGCTTTCTCTGCATTCTTCATGATTAGAGCTTCCTCAGCAATCCTAGGCTGTTGCGTTTGCTGTTAGATTTTCAGTAAGCTTTCGTGCATTTGAATTAATGTAGCGAGATGTTCGTTTTTGCAATGCAGTAAGTCTATCCTTTTTAATTTTGAAGCGACCTTGGAATCGTTTTGTAGAGGCCATTAAAAAGGTCTGTGTTTACTTTCAGTGTGGGTGCCTGAATAGTCATATATATGGTAATATTTTTCACGAATTCGCTTGCGGGTACCGCAGAATCAGATGTGCGGAAAAATCGATTTCAACACCATGCCCTAAACAGCTCATCAAGTATGCTCCAATCAATAAGAGGTAGTTGGGATATTTGCTTCCTTATTGTTCTAGACTTTCAGAATGACAGATATTCATGTCGCATAGTACCGCTTTGTGATCACCCTCTGTACATCGGTTCTCAACTGATACGTAAGTAGGTGGAATACCCATGGTGAAAACCAGATTTAAGAGGTGGTCTAACCTGATCTGCTGATTAACGTTTGAGTCTAACCAGTGGCACGGACATACTTGAGTACTTCCCCTTTCCGCCAATTGTTGCAGGCCTATGCGACAGACCGTTTATAATTGGCAGATTGAAATCTCCAAATATGGGTTTGTACTTGGGTGGAGTGCTAGAAGCATTATTACTGGCAGGTATTCGCTGTTGCGTTTCATGGAGAGGAGCATCAGGGTAGCATCAGGGGTCCATAAATGCAGCCCATTAGTAGATGATAGGCTGGAGTAGTCAACCACGATGAATCGTTCAACTCATTGGAAGCTAACTAGTCAGCTGAGATTGCTGTTATACCATGGCGTATGTAGCTGGTACATTCAGCACCACGTGTGCTTAGGCGATCCTTCCTAAACCATTGATAACGCGGAAAATACAATTGAAAGTCACATATAGCTGACGTACCCCATGTTTCGGTGATACAGTATAAAGAGTTTTAAGAAACATAAACGCTGTAAGGAAATCTAGTTTGGGTAATAACGAACAAACATTTATAATGGCGGAATCAAGAGAACAGAATGAGGTAGGGTGCACAGATTTGGTTACATCCCACCCACTGTCTTCATGGACATGGGTACTGTGCCGCAGTGAAACAATTGGGCTCTAGTGTGAGATGCGTTTTACTGGCTACAGTGAAGGCGCACTGCTGGAACAAATAGATCCTCGTTCGATTTTGTATGGTCGTATGTGGAAGCACTGCTGATGGGGGCGGATGCCGGTCTACAAAAGAATCGCTTTGCAATGGAGAAAGTGGCGGTGGGAGTTAGACTAGAAAATGAAGCTACCATTGAGAGGTAGTGTAGATGTGAAGTCGTATGTCCTTCAGTTCTGTCATAAGATGCTTCATTATTCGGGTTAGGATATTGGCGTTTCCGGGTCAGAGGTAGGTAGCAAAAAACCTTTGGGATGATGGATAGTATGTCGGTCGGCTACTATTGACGTCCCAATCAGCTCCAGCATGATATGCAGAAGTGTGATAGTGTACAGTTTTTCTCAGCTGGCTTAAAGAGCGTTTCTCATATCCTGACGGAGGTGGCTTAGACACTTTCGGCTGTTGGACATTCCAGTGAAGTATTCTGGGAATGCGGCACTGTGCGATCCCATATATTTCTAGTTAGGGTAGTTATTGTCGTATACAGCAAGAAGCAGTTCAATCGGATTTTTATAATTCCTAATTTCACAGCTTTCAATTTAGCACTTAATTGGTGCCACTCATTAGGTATTTAGAACGTTTAAAATTATTATGAAACAGCATAGTGGATTCTGCCAAAACCACTCATGTGTCATAAACTTCTGTTAGCCCTTGCCAGCTGGGAGGAATCCGTCGGTGCTGCGGAAGTGGTCGACGCCGCCTGATTGCCTTTCTCTAAGACCGCCGCAATCTTCCGTACAAGCTTTGGAGCTATGTCATTGGCGCCCTCATCCTGGGCTGCATGGACTCATTTCTACTTTAACGATGCTTGGATGTGCGGCTTCGTAGCCCCCTACCCGACCCAACAGAGGTTCACTGTGGCGTCTTTCAAAGTCCAGTACTAGTGCACTGCGAACCACACGTCAATGCAGCACAATCTTTATTGGCGCGATCACAAGCTATATCATCACTCACGCAAGCGTACATTAATGAGTTACGTTTCCTTCCCACGAAGCATCATCTCTCCTGTCTTCTGCTCGCGACACGTTCATTCACTTTGAAAGTTTTGTGATGAAATATTCCATGCATATGTCACCCCCGTATCTCCACTTCTACGTGTCCCATTCTGACATGCCCGGAATTGTTAGATAGCTCATAACGTGCTTGAACGTGGATGCATCGCTCTGCTAAGGGTTGGTCCGGGAGGCTGCAATAACCGCGATGTTGTCTTATTTATTGCTTTCCTGACGAATGCCCTCTCTGTACTGCCTTGACTAGGCTCACTACCGGACGACGCTAGTGCCCCGTTCTGGTCTCTTTCCCACAGGCTAGTATTCCTCCGTCTGCTCACTCTAATTGCGCATGTTCCCATTTCCGTTTTAGTGGTCTTCATGTCCTCCGGGCAGTCACTGCC